TTTGATCTACATATGTCCAATAAACATTTTTGACTGCCAAATGACACTTTTTAACTTCCCGTAGGGCAAGTTATAGTAATCGCAAAAAAATCGAAAATGAAATTTTTTATATATCTTCACGTTTCAGAGGTTTCTGAACATTTTGGCATACCTTAGAAAAAATGGATGTATGTGTGTGTGTGTGTGTATGTATGTATGTATGTATGTATGTACTTGTGTGTATGTATGTGCGGATACAAATTTTCGTCGACGATTTCGGGAACACGGATCAACCGATTTAAATAATTCCAAAAGCATTCGATTTGTATTGATAAGGAGACGTGCTGATTAGTTTTTGGCGAAGGCAGGTCCAGCCGTTCCAAAGATACGGGGCAAAAAGTGCCGAAAACGGTAACTCAGTTTTTAAGAGAACGGAGCATCCGATTTTAATAATTCAAAAAACATTTGACTTGTATTGACAAGATGAAGAATTGATCAAATTTTCATGGGGGCAGGTCTAGCGGTTTCGGAGATCTAACGAAAAAAGTAAAAAAATGAGCCATTTGGCGGTCAAAAATGATGATTAGACATATGCACATCAAATTATAAAATATTTTATAGACATTTTAACAATAAGTATAAATTTTGTTTGCATTCCTATGGGTTCCGTACCAATGTTTATTCGTTAGACGGCGACGCGGCGCTTACGCGCTTTGACATTTTGTCTCTATGCAGTTAAAGCAGTACGATTGCTTTGAAAAAAGATCTTCCAAAATATGCCAAAATAAAGAAAACATTATTTTTTCCAAAAAAAATTAAAAAAAAAAAAATTTAAATTTTTTTTTTTGAAAAATTTTTTTTTTCAAAAAAAAGTTATTTTTTTTAAATGTCAATCGTTTTTAAAAAAATTATAATTTTTGGTACGGGAAGTTCCAGCAATTTGCCTTAAGGCACGATGCCTTAATTGCCTTAAGACAGAATTCCACTTACAGCTAGTTTAACTTATTTTTATTGAGAGTGCATACCTGACTTCCCATTTTACCAGTTGTTCATTTCGTCAATACAAGTAAAATGTTTTTTGAATTATTAAAATCGGACGCTCCGTTTTCTTAAAAACTGAGTTACCATTTTTGGCACGTATCTTCAGAACGGCTAGACCTGCCTTTGCCAAAAACTAATAAGCACGTCTCCTTATCAATACAAATCGAAGGGTTTTTGAATTATTCAAATCAGTTGATCGGTGTTCCCGAAACGGTCGACGAAAATTTGTATCCGCACACACACACGCACACACACACGCACACACACACGCACACACACATATATCCATTTTTTCTAAGGTATGCCAAAATATTTACAAACCTTTGAAACGAAAACATATATAAAAATTTTCATTTTCGATTTTTTTGCGATTACTATAACTTGCCCTACGGGAAGTTAATAAGACAAATTGTGATATGGATTTTTTAACACATATATTTAAATATATTTTTTTAACATTGAAAATAATGTGCGAATACAAATTTTCGTCAATTTTTTTGGGTTCCGTACCAAGATTTTTAATTTTGAAGTTTATTTATATGGTTCAAACAAATATCCTCGACATTTTCGACAGTATGGAATAACCGCAAGGGGTGTAAAAGGGGTTATGCAGTTTTTAAGAGAACAGATAATCCAATTAGATTAATTCAAAAAACATTTTGTTTGAGTAGACAATATGCATAAAATGCATTTACAGAAAATTTAATAATTTTGAAAATTTTCAAACAAAAAAATCAAAATTTTCAAAAAAAATCGAAGTTTAAAAAATTCTAAATTTCGAAATTTTTCATCATTTTAAAAAAAAAAACTAAATTTCGAAAAATTTAAAAAAAAAATTCTTACAAAAATTTGGGACTATTTCGATAATTTAAAAAAAAAAACGAATATTTTCAAAAATTTCCAAATTCTCAAAATATTCAGAAAAAACGTTTTTTTTAAATCCCAAAAAATTTCAAACTTATAAGAAAAAAATCAAAACTTTGAAACAATTTCTAAATTATCAAAAAAATTGAATTAAAAAAAATGGACTCTTGTACACATAAGATGTTCATAAAATACGCTCGTCGCCCAATTTAAAAAGCACTTATAAGTTTACAGTATGTAATAAATAATCTATTTGAAATTATTCAAAACAACTATTGATTATTTTCATTCTTCGAATGTTTAATTATGGTACGGGAAGTTCCAGCAATTTGCCATAAGGCACGATGCCATGCGCCCCACATAGTAGAACTAATAATGTCTAAAAATTGCAAATTTTGTCTAGTTTATACATATAACTATATGAGAAATATTTTCGCATTCAAAAGTTCTCAATATAGTGTAGATATTATGCAGTATAGTATAAGATGTTTAAATAAGATTTAACTTATGTACATGCAGGGCCGGATTTAGAAATTTGGCGCCCCGGGGCACTGACAAAAATGCCGCCCCATCCCTGAAATTTTACGAACTTTCGAACTTTTTTGTAAAGCAATCGCGCTATAGAAGCGTGTAAGCGCCGCGTCGCAGTCTAACTGATAAACAATGTTACAGAACTTATATAAATGTAAAGAAAATTTATACTTGTTATTATAATATCTTTAAAATATTTTAATTAATTAATATGTTAAAATAATTTATTGTGCCTATGTCTTATGATCACTTTTGTTCGCCAAATGTTTCTTTTTCAAATTTTTTTATTGGATCATCGAAACCGCTTATCCGGCCCCCCACAAATTTAAGCAGTTATTCTGTAAATTTTTTTGAATGTTATTGGACGCTTTTTTCTCAAAAACTAAATCATTTTTGGCATTTTGGCCCGTATCTTCAAAACAGTTGGACCTGCCTTGACCAATAACTAATCAGCACGTCTCCTTATCAATAGGAATTGAATCATAAATCGGTTGATCCGTGTTCTCGAAATCGACTTGAATAATTAAAAAATATTAGATTTGTATTGATGGGGAGACGTGCTGATTAGCTTTTGGTACATGCAATTACGAAAAATGGTAATTGACTTTCGATATTTCTTCTCTGAAACAGCTACGCAGCGCGATTGCTTTGCAAAAAGTTCATAATTTTCGAAAAATTTCAAAATACAAAAAATGTGTTTTATAAGTCTTTTTTTATTTTTCAATAAAATTTGAAGCTCTTTATAAAATGTAATTTTCAGTGCGGGATGTTTCAGTAATTTGTCTTAAGGCGTAGTACCTTGAGTCACTAGTTAACTTCCCGTAGGGTAAGTTATTGTAATGGGCCGAAAATCGGAAATGAAATTTTTTACATTTCTCGACGTTTTCAAGGTTTCTGAACGTTTTGGCATACCTCAGAAAAAATGGATGTGTGTGTGTGTGTGTGTGTGTGTGTATGTATGTGTGGATACAAATTTCCAGTCACGGTTTAGGGCGCACGGATCAACCGATTCCTATTAATAGGGAAAAGAGCTGATTAGTTTTTGGCAAAGGCAGGTCCAGCCATTTCGGAGATACGGAGCAAAGAGTGCAGAAAATAGAAATCGTATTTTTGAGAGAACGGAGTATCCGATTTGAATGATCTAAAAAACATTTAATTAGTAATGATTGGGAGAAGTGTTTATTAGTTTTTGGCAAAGGCAGGCCCAGCCATTTTGAAGATACGGAGCTAAATATGTAAAAAATGGCAGTTTTTGAGAGAACTAAGCGTCTGATTTAAATGATTCAAAGAACTTTCTGCTTGTCTTAACAAAATAATCGATTTTGGAAAAAAATGTGTCCTTTTTTTTTTTTAGTTTTTTTTTAGTTTTTTGTATATCGAAAATATTTATTTTTAATTCTGACTATAGTTCTAATATACTTTACAAATAATTTCAACTCTGCAATTCAGTTTATATAATATTTATAAATATTAGACAATGTTACAATATTTATAATAATCTATTTGAAAACATTCAGTAATCCTCGAACATTTCGTTACGGTACGGGAAGTTCCAGCAATTTGCCTTAAGGCACGATGCCACCCACCCCACTAGTTTAAATTTTTTATTCGACGCTATAAGCTTGGAAGTGCATAAATACGTATATTTTAAGAGGGCTCGAGAACTGAAAAACATATTTTTCCTAAACTTTCAGCTTGTTTATGCATCTTTATATTAGCCAAATTGCCAAATTTAATAACTTATTAACCAATTTGATAATTTACGTTCGGAGAGGGAGGCAAGGCAAAATAATAAGTTTTAGTTGACATTTATTTCAACCCAAATTTTGCATTGCAATCGTATTATGTTTTGTTAATTAGAATTCTTGAAATAAAAAATGTTGTTAAAAAAAAGTTGATTATATTGTATAGAATTTTTTCTCACTATCCAAATTTTGCCGCCCCCCAAAATTTGCCGCCCTGGGCAGTAGCCCCGATTGCCCCTACTCTGAATCCAGCACTGTGTATATGGCATATGTACTCGTTTACAAAGCCAATAAATAAAAAAAACGAACTGCATGCAATTGCAGGGTACTATTAGCGTTACTTGCATAGATAAACAAGTACGCGCGGTTGTACTAGTTCCGGTTTTTTCAATTTTCCAATGTGTTCCACATAATTGATTTGAACAATATTTGCAGTACTAGAAGAAAAAAGAATATACTTTCGAATAACGCTAATTAGAAAGTGATCCAACTAAACGCACTACCCGAAAACATCAATTAAAAACTTATTTTATCTTTTTCAGCTAATAATAAATGACTATTTGGCGTCGATTATTCTATATAATGTTGTCTAAGCCAGTATGAGCGGAACCACGAAAACTTTTTTTCGATATCTTTTATGTTCAGGCCAAAAAGTGAGTTTGAAAAAAAGGGGCCACTTTGGCATGTTTTCGATGATATCTTGGCCATTAAATGAGGTACAAAGTTAAACATTGGTATATCGTTTTTTTTTTCAAAAAAAACATTTAAAATGGCGTATAAATTATTTAAATACCAGATGCGGCCGATTCTCTATTGTTGCTTTATTTATTAGGCACTTACCCATTGCACTCGTAGCCCGACTTCCGCCGATTGCGGTCATAGCTCCAAGCAGGCCGGCGCCAGCGGTCATGAGTTGCGCTCGAGCCGCGTCCCACCGCGAGAAACCTGACCGCAACAAAATTGCAAAATCGCCCACTTCGTGTGGAATCTCATGCACTGCACGAGGGATACAAATTAGAATTATGTAACATGTAGTGGCAATATTTCCTAAATTGACTATATGTATAGAGATTTTACCTAGAATTGCGAATGTTGTTAAAATTCCTAGTTTGAATGAAACAATGAAAGAACCACCAACAGCAAGACCGTGTGTGAAATTATCAATTGAGTTTGCCATGAGATTTAAGTATCCAGAAACCTGACAAAGTCCATAATACGAATTAATAAAAATCAAAACTATTGAAATACAAAATAGTGATCAATTTATTAACATCAATGAAAAATAAGATAGTGAATTTTTTTCTCTGCAACTCACATGCTTAGACTTGTTGCTCACAGCCTCTTTCTCTAGCTCCTCGACCATACAACAGCCGTTTTTGATAGCTCCATTTATAACTTCAATGTCACACATTTTTCCATTTTGTCCGCCTGAGCATTTGCTGGTCGAGAATCGTCCATTTTCGTTTCTAGCCCTCAAGACATTGTTGTTCTTTATCAAACAATTAATTTTAGACATTTTCTTGCGCTTTCGTTCGGTCTTTTCCTCGGAAACGTCATCATCTTCCATGTAACCAGCAAATAACTTCTCGACCATCGTGAATAACAAGAGGCCAGCTAATACCCAGCACCCGCATGTCATTGATGGACTACCTCCTCCTGAATCTACGAATTCGTACATGACTACGAGTCGCTCTATGCAAAAAAGTTACATAGAAAATATATTAAGTATATGAACTAGTTGGTATTGGTATTTAGCCTTGTGGCAAGTTACATGAACTTCCCGATATGTGTAAATAATCGACGTAATCAATTAAAAATAAATTAATTTATAAGTAAGTATTCCGAGAGGATTTATTACACATAATTGAAAACGAACGAACACGTTAACGCGCAGTATTTTCTAAAAACTAATTTTCAGAAATCAATATTTTTTTATAATTGAACCAATTTTCGTATGACGTTAATGGTTTAGTATGTTCATTAAGACCAAGTAATATATCGTTATACCAAGTAAATCATCTAATTTTAATTTTAACAAACGTCAACAAATCTACTCATTTTCTCAAACTTTGATAAATTTTTAAAATTAAATTACTTGTCGTAATGCCGCAATATTTCAGTAAGTTCTATAAGACCATGATATACATCGCCAAAGAAAGTTTCATAAAAATCGGTTTAAATTCTTTTTCAACAGTTAATTATAAGAAAACGACACGGTAGATTTTCACCTGAAACTAATCAGTATGATTCCCAAGTGATATCTTTCGAACAGTTTTTAATTTTTTAAAATCGATTCGGTAGAATGAGCTTAAATGTAGACGAAAAGTTTAACACTCTTTTTCAAATTACAAAGAAACGGCTCGGCAGATCGTATCACAAAACTGACAAACTATAGTGCTCATTGAGATACATCGAATGGCTTTTAAATTTCTAAAATCGGTTCAGGCGTGTTTGAGCAAACGTCGATCAAAAGTCTAATTTTGACATGTGCCAAAAGAACGATACTAATTTTTGCAAACTTTGACAAATTTTTAAAGCTAAACGAGTTGTCGTAGGGCTGTAATATTTTAATATGATCTAGAAGACTATGGTATCTACCGTCAAAAAAATAATACTAAAAATCGTCGATTTTTTTTTTTAAACTTTATTACAAGAAAACGGCCCAGCCGATCTTTACCAGAAACTAATCAGCACGATTACGACGGCCGAGACGTTTCTTTATAAATAGCAGAAAAGTGAAAAAATTTTCGTCCACGTTTTAGCCCGCAATTCTGAATCGATTATGAAAATTCAAAAACCGTTCGAAAGATATTGATTGGGAATCGTGCTGATTAGTTTTTGGTAGTGATCGGCCGGGACGTTTTCTTGTAATAAACTGTTAAAATTTTTTTTTTCGACGATTTTTATTATTATTTTTTTGAAGGTAGATACCACAGTCTTCTAGATCATACTAAATATTACGGCCCTACGACAATTGGTTTAACTTTAAAAATTCGTCAAAGTTTGCAAAAATTGGTATCGTTTTTTGGCATTTGTCAAAATTAGACCTTTCATGGACGTTTGCTCAAAAATGCCTAAACCGATTTCAGAAATTTAAAAGCCATTCCATAGATCTCAATGAGGACCACCGTTTGTCAGTTTTGTGCGTCGATCTTCCGAGCCGTTTCTTTGTAATTTGGAAAAAAGTGTTAAACTTTTCGTCTACATTTAAGCTCATACTACCGAATCGATTTTAAAAAATCAAAAACTATTCGAAAGATATTAGTTGGGAATGATACTGATTAGTTTTAGGTGAAAATCTACCGAGCCGTTTTCTTGTAATTAACTGTTGAAAAAAAAAATTTATGCCGATTTTTATGGAACTTTTTTTGTCGATATATATCATGGTCTTATAAAACTTACTGAAACATTAAGGCCTTACGACAAGTAGTTTAATTTTAAAAATTCATCAAAGTTTGAGAAAATGAGTAGTTTTTTAACGTTAACTAAAATTAAAATTAGATGATTTACTTGGTATAACATTAGAGTACTTGGTCTTTATAAATATACTAAACCATTAAAGTCCTACGGAAACCGGTTCAAATATAAAAATTTGTGATTTTTGAAAATTTGCTTTTAGAAAATAGTCCGAGTTAACGCGTTCGTTCGTTTTCAATTATGTGTAATAAATCCACTCGGAATACGTTTAATTACTCATAAATTAATTTATTTTTTATTGATTAAGTCGATTATTTACACATATCGGGAAGTTCATGTAACTTGCCTCAAGGCAAAATGCCAATTCCAACTAGTTTACTTTGATACTGTTATGAATACTAAAAACATCCTTATGCGTACCACCATATATTACCGTTATTAATAAACAAGACTAGAATGAGGTCAAATAACACAAACTATTTAATAAAAAAATATGAATACCTCCTTTGTTACTGTAGTTCTCCCATGCTTCTGGCAACAAATGCAAAAACACATCTCCGAGCAGACCTCCTACTGCAAAACTGAGCAATACGCGCAAAAGTTTGCCCCCTCCTGTAAATGTATAAATAAATGTTGTATCAAAAATATTACGGCTAAACCAAAACTAAAATAGTAATATATTTATGAAATTTAGTATCTAAAACTATTCTTAGTGAAACAGTCATTTCAAATTACCAAGTAAGAAGAAACTAAAAAAACAAACAAAATTGATTCGAAATAAATTTGTCATTGATAAAATAACTTTCCATTCCAAAAACAACTCGATATTAATGGTAATTAAAATCATACAAATGATCTAGTGGTGTATCGCATCGTGCCAAGGCAAATTTCTGGAACTTCGCGTATAAAAAAATATTTTTTTTGAAAAAGATTAAAATTTTCTGGAAACTTTGAAAAAATTAGAATTTTGAGAAATTTAAAATTTAAAAAAAAAAGACTTTTTGGAAAAAAAAACTTAAAAAAATGTTTTCTTTATTTTGAGATATTTTGGAAATGTTGAACTTTTTTTTACAGCAATCGCGCTGCTTTAGCTGCATTGAGAGCAAATATCGAAGCGCGTAAGCGCCGCGTCGCCGTCTAAGGGGCAAACAATGTTACGGAACCCATAGAAATGTAAGCAAAACTTATAGGCATTATTAAAATCTCCATAAAATATCTGATAATTTGATGTGTATATGTCCCATGAACATTTTTGACCGCCAAATGGCATTATTTAAAATTATTTTTTGAGGGTACATAACCGCTAGACCTGCGTCCCCAAAAGTTTGATCAGTACTTCAACTTGTCAATACAAGTAAAATGTTTTTTGAATTATTAAATTCGGACGCTCCATTCTCTTAAAAACTGAGTTACCGTTTTTGGCACTTTTTGTCCCGTATCTACAGAACGGCTAGACCTGCCCCCGCTAAAAACTAATCAGAACGTACACACACATACATCCATTGTTTCTAAGGTATGTCAAAATGTTCAGAAACCTTTCAAACGTAAAAATATATAAAAAATTTCATTTTCAATTTTTTGCGATTACTTTAACTTACCCTACAGGAAGTTAAAAATACATGAAATTAATACTTCAGGTTAATGGTAAGCAATAAATACAATAACAGAATTTCCCTTTGTAGCAACTAAAAACTATTCCTTGACCATACTCAAAAACTTAATAGTTACAACCAAGACAGTACTAGAATATGATATATTCATATCATGCTGACACGCTGACAAGTATCACGGCCTATTATCTCACAATCAGAACAAAATCCGCAACTAATCACAAAGAGTGAGCCGATGAAAATGTATTGTAAATATATGTATTATGTTAGCTACTAAGAAACTTCAGTGTTATTTTTGTGTCAGTTGACAAATTGTGATTCTTGTTCGTTTGTGTTTGTACATTTGTTAATAAAGTTTTCATTGACAAAGTGAATAGAAGGGCTTCAAACTCACATACAGGACATAAATACTACGTAGTTGACCACTTGTAGGAAATTATGTAAGAAAACAAGTATAAGCTTCTACAAGAAAGACAAAATATTTAGAACTCTTTCAGCCGTTCAAAATTGGATTACCACTTCACACGGACCTGAATAGACTTGGAAGAAAATGAATTGCTTAAGAATGTCAATTCTGATTTGATTGTATATTTATTATAATATAAAATTATCTAGTATATTTTTGTTACTATTGTATTATTACAACACATAATACGATTGTAATACCAAATTTTGTTTCAAATACCTGATTAATAAAATTCATTAAATGTAATTTCAAATTTTCCGCCATTAATTTGAATGGCTAAAGCAACGCCCTCACGTTTGAGTGTAGGACCCTTTAATTATTCCTTCTGAACGTAAAAATCGGGAGAGAGAAACTTCTATATGAAGATATCATATTCTAATGGTGCCGTAGCGAGGCCAAATAAAATTAAAACTAGCTGTAAGTGGAATTCTGTCTTAAGGCAATTAGGGCATCGTGCCTTAAGGCAAATTGCTGAAACTTCCCGCACCGCAATTCAAAATTAGAGTAATTAAAAATAATCAATAATAATAATCAATAAAAGTTGATCAATGATTTGAAACTTTTAATAGAATTTCGAACCATAATAATCATTCTATCTTAAATCATTTATTTTGAAATATTTTGGAAATTCTGAACTTTTTTTCAAAGCGGTCGTACTGCTTTAACTGCATAAAGATGAAATATCAAAGCGCGTAAGCGCCGCGTCGCCGTCTAACGCGTAAACATTGGTACGTAGCCCATAGGAATGTAAACAAAATTTATACTTATTGTTTAAATCTCTATAAAATATCTGATAATTTGACGTGCATATGTCTAATGTTCATTTTTGACCGCCAAATGGCTCGTTTTTTTACTTTTTCCTCCATATCTCCAAAGCCGTTGGACCTGCCTTTCCAAAAATTTGAACACTTCTTCATTTAGAAAAAATATTACAAATAAAACTATATATACAAATAAAATATTTTTAGAATCATTCAAATCGGACGCTCCGTTCTCTTAAAAACTGAGTTACCGTTTTCGGCATTTTTTGCCCCGTATCTTCGGAACGGCTAGACCTGCCTTCGCCAAAAACTAATCAGCACGTCTTCTTATCAATACGAATCGAATGTTTTTTGGATTATTCAAATCGGTTGATCCGTGTTCCCGAAATCGTCGACGAAAATTTGTTTCCGAACATACATACATACACGCACACACACACACACACACATACATCCATTTTTCCTAAGGTATGCCAAAATGTTCAGAAGGTTTTGAAACGTAAAGATCTATAAAAATTTTCATTTTCGCTTTTTTTTGCGATTACTATAACTTGCCCTACGGGAAGTTAACTAGTGGGGTGTATGGCATCGTGCCTTAAGGCCAATTGCTGGAACTTCCCGTACCGTAACGAAATGCTCGAGGAATACTGAATGTTTTCAAATAGATTATTATAAATATTGTAACATTGTCTAATATTTATAAGAATTATATAAACTGAATTACAAAGTTGAAATTATTTGTTCAAAGTATATTAGAACTATAGTCAGAATTAAAAATAAATTCTGAATTATTTTCGATATACAAAAAAAAAAATAAAAAAAAAATTGAAAAAAAAGTTGAAATTTTTTTTTCCAAAATCAATTATTTTGTTAAGACAAGCAGAAAGTTTTTTGAATCACTTAAATCGGACGCTTAGTTCTCTCAAAAACTGTCATTTTTTGCACATTTAGCTCCGTATCTTCGAAATGGCTGAGCCTGCCTTTGCCAAAAGCTATTAAACACTTCTCCAAATCATTACTAATTAGTTGGTCCGTCCGCCCCAAAACGTGGACGAAAAATTGTATCCACAACATCGCATACATTTTCCTCTGCCGTTAAATCTGAAAACGATGCATGCTCAGCATACGCTTCCATTATCGGTCGACGAGGAAAAGAAGTATATTCGAAAATGTTTGCGAATCAGTACGCATCCAGTAATTTGGCTCTAATAATCTAATAATAAATATATAAAACTATATATTAAAATTATATTTTAATAAAAAGTGTATTTTCCATTCTAATTAAAGTCTTTTTATAATCAAGACGGTTGATAGAGTCACATATTCTATCTGGTCCTTTAACTAATCAACAACCCAAAAACACTGGTCCATTCTACCCGAAAGTGATCCTCCACTCTAAAGAACACAAGAAACACACACACATATGTTACGGTAAATGTACACTATTGAAAAATGTGCACTTTTAACGGATTATGCGCACATTCCCCAAAACGCAAGGTCGATCTGAACTGATTATAGTAAGTATATACATTTCCCAGTCAATACCCTCAAGCCAAGTACCCTCCCAATTGTTTTGGTAATAAAAATAACAAAATTAAAAAGTTGCGGTAGAAAAAAAAAATAAATAAACATAATACTTAAAGTCTTTATAAATTATACTTATAAAATGTATATGACTAATGTGCGTGTATACAAAGTCAAAAAAAAAACAATAAAAAAACGTGTTTAATAACTTAGTTGTTTTAAATAAAAAAGTAGGTGATAAATAGAGAAAGATACTGTTTTTTACATAATCTTGAAGTTATTAAATGACTTGTTCTTGTAAAAATGTGCAAATCAACAATTTCAAACGCAGTTTGCACCAGAGCAGGGCTATATTATTTTTTCCATTTAATAACCTATATATATATATATATATATATATATATATATATATATCTATATATATTCACCATTTAGTTAAAAATTAATGTTTTTTACACTACAGTCTATAGATACCGAAATGTATATACTGTAGTGGTATTCACCCCTTTTGCAATAATTATAAATAATATTATAAATTCGATATAACAGTCAATATGAAAGACGCAATACATTGCTGATTCACAGCTCATAGATTGTATCAGAGATAAGCAACATTGTATGCATGCCTGTAACGGGTTCTTGGATGACAAATAAGCAAGTTGAGTCATTCGTAACGGTTTCTGCGATGGCAAATAAGCAAGTATGAATCATTGTAACGTAATGTTCTAGAAGGATGGTTACGTCATCATCAGAGATTATAAAAAGCCTGAGGACGACGGAACTAGTGTTCATTCTCGAGTAGACGCTAAACAGTTCACATCAGTCCTTATTTTAAAATATCAATTGTGTATTAAGTGTAACCGAATAATGAACTAAATAAAATTAATAAATGTCTTCAAATGTTTAATTAAATATTTCCACAGTGAAAAGCTTAGGATAGCAGCAGAAGAACCAAATTTTAGATGTTGACATCGTTGGCGTGACGCAACATAATTGTTGGCAACGGATCCACAACATATTTGTTGTCAGCCCAAGGGTGCATAACATCATTTTGGTGGCAGTGTGGGATTCTGCGAATTTTTTTTTTATAAAAATGCTAAGGTATTTATCATAACATGTTTTGAACATAGAATTATTGCATACTTGGAAAACGGATATTTGAAAAAATACGCCGAAGTATAGCAATAATTAGATTCAAAAAACGGTAAGAAGCTTTACCGAAAGTGGAAATATCAGTGAAACTACAAAGTG